TATATAAAGCTTGGAGTCTTTAAGTTTTTTAAAATGTTTTTGAAAGAACTCACTCCATTTATTTGATAAAAATAGAGTAATATTCAGTAATAGTATAAAATGATATTATCATTTAAAATAGCTGTTTTCTATGTGAATATATTGTAAAAAATTTATTCCTGTGATCAAATCTTCAGAAATCATTCTAATATGCTGATTCGCTGCTCAAGAAGCATTTCTGATTATTATCGGTGTTGAAAACAGTTGTGCTGCCCAATAGTTTTTGTGTACATTAATACATTTGAGTACATTAATGTTTATTCAGCGAGGATGCATTAAATTGATAAAAAGTGAGAGTACATACTTTTAAAATGTTACAAAAGATTTTTAAACTTTTAAACCTTTTTTTAACTTGTAAAATTTGTATTCATCAAAGAATCTTGAAAAAAAAAATGTTTCAGGCATTACACAAAAACATTAAGACAGTATGAAGAGAGAGAGAGAGACAGTGAGAGAAAATTCCCCTAAACAGTTCCTTCTTGTGTGTTTTGGCTTGCTACATGATTCAAATGGATGCATGTAAATATCAACATGATTTTCTCCACACTGTAAAAAAAAATAAAAAAATAAAAAATGATTGAATGACAGCTACCAAACAAAAGATGTAAAATCAAAGTAAAATACCCCAATTAAAAAGATTATTCGATAATATCCTGACCATAAATCATTATTATGATCATAATCCATCAATAAAGTGATGGCTGGTATTTCACAAACCCCCCCCCCCCCCAGATTATTATGATCAAATACCTTCACAGTGAAAAGTAAATCTCTTGCAATTAACAGTTAGCTAGCAATAGCTCACATGCATGAGCTAATGTAACTGCAGCATCACCAACTACACAATTACTGCCTTTAAATAAAGTAACATGCAGACCATGAGAGCATTTACAGCACAACTGTCCTCTTCATCAAACAAACCTGAGATTTACAGTTCAATCACTCTTTAGGAAGTGAGGAAAAGGGAGAAAGAAATTAGGGAGAATGTGAGAGAAAGGAGGAATAAGAGAAGGTTGGGCATGCTTCCAAAGTTGGAGTTGGATGTTGAATTGAATTTAACAAATCCAGGCGGGTTGCTGCCAGTGTTATTCTTGATCCAGTCCTGATACTGAGAGACTCTGGCAAACACAGTGGGAAATGTGGGGTCAGCGCATCGTTGACCAAAACTCACAATGCCGGACCGAGATGGGCCAGGACCCTTTGGGTTGTTCGGGCTCAGACCTGGACCTTCGTAAAGGCCGCTGACCGTGCCTTTGCCCGCACTCAGCTACCTCATTAGGAGAAAGGCCCTCGCCTTTATCCAGGTCTTTCAGCAGGCCAGCCTGATATGCTTGGGGCATCACCATCGTGTGCAATGAAGCGACAGCCCGACCTGCTGCTGCTACTGCTGCTGCGTATGCCCTGGCATTAGAGCGAGATGTCAAGGAGGGAGTCTTAAAAGAGGACGTCTCAACCATAGCGAGATAGCTGGTCAGCGTCTCTCTATAGGGGCATCTTCTCATAACCGCTTTCGCGCATCGCCTTGATGTTGGCATAACTCGTATGTTGGAATCGATGGATGCGTGAGGAAAAAAAACGGCCTCTTCCATTCACTTCTCAATCTCTGTATGGAAAACAGGAAGAAAGGAAGGCTCACCTGAGCTGGAGGGTTATGGCCAGAAAAATAACGTTCATGTTCTTTTTTTAATAGATGACCTCACGATGTTATTTTCTTCACCCGCTTCACGGCAAGTAAAGCCTCGCCGTGGCACGATCCATAACTTTTGAAAGCTCATCACACGCAGGGCAGGAGGATTGGGAAAACTCAGCCTCAGCTTTTTTGCCCTCCTCAGACATTTTCCTGCTTTCCAGCAGAGCACTGGCCCCTGGATCAGACAATGTTAATGAAATAACATCATCCTCCAGGGGCTCACTCCCGTCCACAGCTGACGATCGCGAGAGGGAAAAACCCCTCTTCAAACTCATCGACCAGATCCACATGCGATCCCCACGATGTTCATTCTCCTCCGTGCCTCAGCAGCGGCGTATCCTGTAAGCAGATGGCTGCCCCTCTTTCCTCGAAAAGAGAGACAAACGAGAGCGGAGCTTTTTCCTTGAAAAAATGCTTGCGGTGCACGCCGATTGCCCCCTCTGAGACAGATAATAACAAACAATAACAAATAACAAATAATGCATAGATCGTGTGTGTCATCAGATGTTAAACAACGACAACATGGATGCACATATCCTCTAAACACTTTGCTAGTGCTCGCCATAATGATATGAAAAGAGATCGCTCTTACCACAGAAATGCACACTTCAAACAAAACAGTCAATGAAGACGAAGAAGAGAATGATGTGTGCTCCCGGCGCCTATTTATACTATAGTCGCACCGGTAGTGACGTCATGGCTGTCGCCAGCCAACGAGTTGGTGTTTTTCAATGTATGCTTCAGACACGGGTCACGACGAGGCGTTCCCCATAGCGGATGCAGTTCGAAGTTCCCATGAACGAAAGAAGACGGCTTGATCATAACTGTTTTATAGTATTAAACTAATAAGAAATATATTTTTTAAATCTAAATAAATGGCCTTTTCATTATACTTAACATTTTGATATATTTTATTGGTAACACTTTACAATAAGGTTCCTTAGTTAACATTAGTTAAGTACTTTAGTTAACATGAACTAAGAATGAACAATACTTCTACAGCATTTATTAATCTTAGTTAATTACAACATTTACTAATGCATTATTAAAATCAAAAGTTGTGCTTGTTAACATTAGTTAATGCACTGTGAATTAACATGAACTAACAATGAACGACTTTATTTTAATTGATCAACATTAACAAAGATTGATAAATACTGTAATAAATATATTATTCATTGTTTGTTCATGTTAGCTAATACATTAACTAATGGAACCTTATTGTAAAGTGGTACCATTTTATTTACTATCAGTTTTCTGCCGAACAGATATGGAAAACCAGTCTGCGTGTATTCTGTATTTTTGTCTCATCTTTTTTTCTGCACATATGATTGGACAGCGAGCATGAGTGTCTCTCTAAAGTCTTACATGAATTCATGTGAGAAAGTGTTTTTTTGTTGTCCATCGGGGTTGCCGCTTGGCCAAAGATAGTTTGTGCACCTAATCGGCATTGTGTTGTGTATTATGAGTGCATGCTAAAACAAGAAGGCGACAGATGACTACAAAACGTGTTCTGTATTATGAGCACCATGTAGTCTCGTAGTCCTGTAGTGTGAGCTTGCCAGATCTAGCAAGTGGTACCAAGTGGTAATCAGTCTTATTTTTCATATTCAGATTAGTCATATCTATGTTTTTATGTAACTGACTTTAAAAAAGTTATGAACAGTCTAGCAAAAAAATATTAGATGACTAAGCCGTTTAAGCAACAGGCTACAAGTATTGTATCAAAAATCAGTCGTAGAGTACAAGTTCATGATCAGTGCAGTAAAGACGGGGCTTAATTAAGAAATTAGACTGGCAGTGTAAAGTGTACAGGTGACCTGATTTTCTGGAGTTTGTGTGCGCCCTCTACAGGACAAACCATAAGATAAAGCCACAGGTGTCTAATGATGATGGTGTGGTCTGCTGGGAGCACACGGCCTTTAGACCTTCTTTCTCCCTTTCAATGTTTTATGGTGCTCTTAAAATTTACAGCTTCAATTATTTTGTTTTTTACTTTCAATGTTAAGTTGCATCAGTTTATTTTTGTAACATACCAGATTAATAAATCAACTGTGATCTACTTCATTTTCCTGGATTTTAGTGGATATAAAGGAGCCAACAAAGAGGTGTCTAACATTTCCCCAGCAGACACAAGAAGTGACTAATGAACCTTTTAAATCAAGTAAGGGTCACTACAAGTAGTGTTTTGCAAATTGATTTGGATTAAAAAGGGTTCAAATGAATGACTGATGTCTTACCTGACATGCACCTTTTCCTCCCTGATTTAACAATCCAGCACAAATCATATTGCTTGTAATTCTCGCTTCATAAGCATTAGCACAGGCACTGTTGTTCACAATTGGTATCATCACCTCCTGCTGTATGTCAGGAAGCTGGGTGGCTGTGACACAGATCAGAGGACACATTTTCTGGCTTTTAAAAAAACATTTCTAGGTAAACTATTGAGGTTTACAGTAATGTTTGCATTCAGTTAACTGGCAAGCAAATGTTTACTTACCATCAGGTTGTAGTCTGCCCCATCCAGTGACCCAGCTCTCCGTACCTCCACCAAATACACTCCCAGCTGCTGCCAGACAGACCGGCCTTATGTAATCAGAGAAAGTCACAGAAGAGGAGAGCTCAATCAGTGCTATGTCGTTGTCAAGATTAGAAATGTTAAAGTTAGGATGGTTGATGTTTCGTCTCGCTGTCCTGTTTGTCTCATAAGGGTTTGAGCCGGATTGGTTCAGACGACCAAAGTACATCACAGTGTAAGATGCATTGAACCTGTAAATAGAGAAAGTCTGCTTTAATCCCACTATTACCAATCTACAAATGTATATTAAGCTTTATTTAAGCTTTCAACATATACCACTGGAAGCAGTGAGCTGCAGATAAAACCCAGTCTTTATTGATGAGAGTCCCGCCACAGAAATGGCCGAAGTCGATGTCCTGAAAGGTGAGATGAATGCTGACCTGCCACGGCCAAGCCCCTGTTGTCGCATTCTCCCCTCCAACAATCCTGTTATTGAGAGGGGCTCGACCACATACTGATGAGAGAAAGAAAGATATGAGATTTCCTTCTTAAAGTGCCTCACAGACACAGAAGACACATCTATGAGTTTTAGTATCTTTATGACCACTTACCATCTAACTGGCAGAGCGAACCTGTATGGACAGACAAAGGCAAAGTAAACAGCGAGTCATCCAGAAAGAGCTGATAAACTGGTTTGTGTCGCCCACCTGTTAAATCAGTTCTGGTGCATAATGGCATGAAAGCATGAAAAAAAAAAAAAAACCTTTACCTCTATAATAATGTTTATGGATTTTAGCCAAAATACCTGTTAAAATGATTTCATATTCATGGCGTGATTAAAGTAACTAACCTAAATCAGTTTAGTTTTACATGCAGTGCATTTGTGAATGAGATGCTTCTGTTTCTCTATAGGGTTATTTCTGAGTTTTATGCCCATAAACATTTAGTGAGTGTTACTGAATATAAAATAATTGTGTTACCTTTGTGTGTGTTTTCTAACAATGTATGAGTAGTTTGCTCACAAATTTTACAGTATATTACAGTGTTTTACCGTATTTTACAGTATATTACAAGTATTTCATTAAAGTTTTGACACTGTTTATTCTTTATAATTATCACTATTTTCCACATTTTGGGATAATATTAAAGTCATCAAATCTATAACTGACATAACTAAAAGAATTGGATTTATGTAGTGACCAAAATATTACACAAATCAAAACTATCTTTTAGCTTCTTCAAATTGACTCAACTGCATCCTGATTCTTGACATCCTGGAATTTACATGAACTAAACACATCCATTAAAATACATACATTATGTATTTATAAAGACATTCATACAAATGCAGGATTCGTGTTTACCTACAAAACCAATTTCAAGCATTTAACCATAAGTCTTCAGATCCAAAAGTTTTTACAGTCATGAGAAACATAAATTGTCAAGTGTGTTTACAAAGGTTTTTAGGAATTAAATGGCTTGAATTTGAAACAACTGAAACAAACATTATTAAATGTACATCTAATTTTGTCATGTTATAGACTTTTTGTAAGCTCTTACCTGTTATGTAGAGAAGTGTGATTGCAGAAACACTCAAAGCGCTGTTGAACTTCATAATTATTATTCTGCTCTGTGATCGGACTGTTTCTTGACCGTCAGGTTTCTGGTGAGATGGAGAACAAGAACCACCGCATTTATCAAGAGTTCTCTGTCTCCACCCCAACACTACGTTCATCTCATTTTCAGAAAAAAAAGAAAGCCTTTGAAAAAACAGCATGCAGGAGCCTGAACGACACAGAAGAACAAAATCCATCATTCTTCACTATTTATTTCACACATGCATCATGGAGTACACACGAGTGCTAAATGACTAAAAGTAAAAAAGTAAAAGTAAATCTCTCACTATCTATAGTCGATCAGCTAATCCATCCTGTGCACTCACTGAGCGCTCTCTTCTAGCTACCTACGATCCCAGCCGGTACCAAGACTCGAACCCGTGACCTTTGGGTTACAAATTCAACTCTCTAACCATTAGGCCACAACTGCCCCCTGCATATTGTTATCATGGGCATTTCAAAATACCGTGAATAATTATTTATTACAAATTATTCAGATTTTTTGAATGCATTTTAAGAATACTTTCCCCATCAACTGGTCACAATGCACAACACCGCTGCGCACTCTCATGTAAACAAGCAAGGATGAGAAGCGTATGAGGCTCTGAATGAAAGCGCACATTCACTCTCTGACAGCAGGTGGCGCTGAACAGCAGAAATGCAGCCGTTACCCTGGAAACCCCAGAAATGAAGCAGCTGTGCAGTGCTTAAACAGCCATTCAGATTTGTGTTTTCGCTATGATGTTCATCACAGAGCCAAATACTTAAATATTTAGACTTAATAGTTTGAATGCATTTTAAGAATACTTTCCCCATCAACTGGTCACAATGCACAACACCGCTGCGCACTCTCATGTAAACAAGCAAGGATGAGAAGCGTATGAGGCTCTGAATGAAAGCGCACATTCACTCTCTGACAGCAGGTGGCGCTGAACAGCAGAAATGCAGCCGTTACCCTGGAAACCCCAGAAATGAAGCAGCTGTGCAGTGCTTAAACAGCCATTCAGATTTGTGTTTTCGCTATGATGTTCATCACAGAGCCAAATACTTAAATATTTAGACTTAATAGGCTATTTATTTTCAAACTACATGCCCTAGGTATTGTTTGAAAATGTTTTGATTCTTTATTGTTCAGTCACACTTTACAATAAGGTTTCATTATTAACATTAGTTTATTCATTAGTTAACATAAAATGCCACTAAAATTATTTTCTAAACTTTCATTAATCTTTCAAAATTTAATTTCAATGTTTAATAACACGTTAAAATCAAAAGTTGCTACGGTGTTATTTAATGAACTCGAGCTAACATGAACTAACAGTTGTATTTTTAACAAAGATTAATAACTTCAAATGTAGCTATTGCTCATTGTTAATTGTCTTTATAATTATTTTGCACTTTAATCTGTGTGAAATTATTTACTTCATAGCCTACACTGTACAAAAATTACTGTAAATTTACAGCATATTTACAGCGTAAATTTACAGCACTGAACTGTTTTCTAAAATGACGGTGTCTTACTGTAAATGCACACGTGATCGGTGGGGGAGGGGGAACCAAAGTCTAGCTTGGTACAAGTGATTGATGCTGAAGCATCGAGGAGCATCGATTTCAGTGAAAGTTTGATATGCATGGATTTCATCTCAAGTTGAAGCTCATTTACAGGTAAGCAGATCAGAGTCTGAAATAAGTGTGTATGTTTATTTTTTATGTGGGCACAATCTTTTAAAAAATTTTTTTTTACAAATTGATGCCAACCGTGAGGTTTAAGACGGCGAACTAGCATAATTTACACATTCTTCCTCAAAGTTAAGTGTGTGTGTGTGTGAGAGAGAGAGAGAGAGAGAGAGAGAGAGAGAGAGAGAGAGAGAGAGAAAGACATAGGGATAGTATCTGTCTGTTGTGATGCCAACCACAAAGACAAAAAACCAAAACCAACTTTTAGTGATGTGCAAACCCTCAACTGTCTCTCTTAGTTGCTTCAGATTTATTTAATCTTGAACCTTTAAACAGTTTATAAGCAAGTTGACTGTATGACAACCCAAAAATTAGCCACCTAAAGCATCATAACACTGACTTAAACTATATATACCTTTTCCAGGCAAGTATTGGTTTGGAAATTTCTGCTACCTCTTTATCTTCAAACCTCAGTTGCTATTGAAGCAGCTGATACTTGCACCTAATTAAGGTAAGTTGATGGTATTGTGTTCTCCTTTTAGGTCGAAAGCACATGACGTTGTTACTGGTTTCATATGTGACTGTTCTGCAGTTTCTAGGTGTGCTGATGTAAAAGCAGCCACCTATTTTGCATGCCAATGTCTATATTGTAACCCATGCAAATTTCCTAAAATAATTTACACGTAAACAGGCCCGTTTTCTCATTAAATGCGTTTGAATAGGGAAGTTTGATAACTGTGTATTGTTCTTGAATATATTAAATTCTCTCCATGCGTTTTACGTACGCATATCTTTTGTAAATGGGTAAAGAAAAAAATTAAGCAAGGGCTAAAAATAACAGCAGGCCTTACTTTCCACAGGCCACCTTCTTCATTCATATTTATATGATTGTGCTTGAATTTAAAAAAGATATATGACAAAAAAGATTGATATTTTACACAATGTGGGGTCAGTTAAAAGGTCAAATCTAAAACTCTTGAGCTTCTGTGATTCAGTTGAGCTTGGTGCTGCTGTACTACAAAACACGATTCATCGTAGTGCTCTGTCGCCACCTACTGGTCAAGTATAGGTACGCATCCATGAAAGTTAATCACGGATAGCTTTCTCCTGGTAATATGGGCCTCCTTGTGGATCTGTGAACACACAATTAAGTCATATTTCCCATAATGCAACGCGAATGGGACCGCATGCTCTGTAAGAAAAGTCCTAAAAAATACCAGTGTATCTTGTTAATTTGAAGGAATGTTTCGTATTGATTTCTCACAGGTGTTTCACCCGCATTTTTAAATACACATTTCATAACGATGTTGTGTTTAAGGTTGAAGAAAACGTCGGAAAAACGTAAAGCGTACTGGTAGCCTAATTCTCCGTCATTCTGGCATTACCAGTTTTCCTACTGATTTTTACAGCGATAGTTTTAAATCAATTGCTATTATTATATATTACTATTAAGAGAGAGAGAGAGAGAGAGAGAGAGAGAGAGAGATTCTTGCAGCTAATTGCATGCCTTTGTTCTTTCCTGGTGTAAAATCCTGTAACTGTTAACCTTATATAGAGGGAAATACAAAATACTTGCGTTCGCTTATTATTTAATTTAGTTGAATATGAATGTAAAATATTCGGCAACAGTAGAATACAGCTCCCTACTGTAAAACGAACATGAGCACGTGATCGTGGGGGAGGGGAGCAACTGAGAAGCAGCGGTCCGTCATTACTGTTTTCTTGCTGTAGCTGCTGGAGGTACAATGTCAGCGCCAAAGAGCCATTAAAAGTGTTGTGTTTTGGGATGCACCAAGGAACATAGGAGTCTCCATAGACTGCTGAGGACACGATGGTTAAATTTCATTTTCCAAGGAAATGTCCCGGACAAAAACGGAAAAGTCCTATACGTTTGTGCCAACATTTTACGCCGGACTGCCTCACAAACGAGGGTCAGTTCAGCGTGCAAAGATCGCTTCTGAAAGAGGGATCGATACCAACGCTTCGTGCGCAAACGTCCAGACTCCAGACAAAGTAAGCATCTCGCCTCATATTTTGTTTTCCATAAGAGCTTCTTGGCTCTCTGTAAGGCTAATGTTGCTAAAGCTACCATTGTCTCTGCCTGTTTTCACTAATGCTGCCTTCACGTGCTACCAGAATGATCGTAAATAGGAATGTGGTTAGTAATGAGTGAAGCTGGTGGTGATGTTTGTGGAGTTGTTTAATCAGATCTTCAATGATTTAATGACTTTTATCTTCAGTTGATTTCATCACTTTATGGTTTCATTCATTACTCAGTGTTGTTTCACATTAAATGTGTACTAAGCTATTTTTACCGAACGATGTTGAAATTTGAATTGTGGCTGAAGTCAGTTGTGGTTCTTGTGTTTCTGCATGTCTTGTCTATTTTTTCAGTTTTCATAGTAACAACTCCTTTCTCAGGTGTCTGAATTCACGCAAAAGTTTTTTTTGTTTGTTTTTTTATTCACTCCACTGGGTAGACTATAGTAAATTAATGTAGGGAATAGTAAATGAGGGTACAGGGTATGATTTCAGACTGTCTCTGAGTGTCGACGCTGATGTTGTTTCCTACATTATATTACTGTTTAAGTGAAAAAAAGTAAGTAACTGTCAGAATTAGTTTTTTTAAGTTTTAAAGTGCATGCCAACCACTTTCATTCAGGTCTTCTTATGCTCAATTTCAAAATGTGCATCAAAATAATCTGCTTAAGTCTGTTGTCATGTGTCACCACTTAAAGGTCCAAATGTTCAACAAGATGCCTCAAGAAAACCACAAACAGTGCTAATATACACTCACGATGCGACGTAATACTACCAAAAAATGTAAATCTTAACCTTCATCTCCATACCAACATCCCAGATGTTGCCAAACTGTGATTCATCTTTTATACATCGTTCAAATACTTGTGTCTGGAATGCAGTGAGCATGAAGACTAGTCCTCATAAATGACTATTGAGATAGTATTCTCAAGTGAAACGAGTAGAGGCTTGGACTTGGAAACAGCTTTCCTTACGTTATGACTTAACAAGCGTATTGGACAGAAACCCGACTGAGAGTGCGCATATGTTCAGTTACTCTTCCCTACCGAACTTACTTGCAGGATCGGTCACTTCTCATTGTTTCGGCACCATGGAATTTATAAATTTAGCACTGACTATTTAACTATTATACATTAAGTGTTTGAGCAGTATTTGCAGCTTAATTTTATAGTAAGAAATATTCCTTTTTAGTGGACTCAAATTAAACAAATTCACATTATAAACACCATCAAAATATTAGTTATATACTTGAATGGTTCAAAGCAATTTGTTTACCAAATGAAATTAGTGAACTTCAGTGGTATTATTACGGTAACATTCTGTAAAGAAGGAGAGCTGTAAATTAACAGTACATTCCTGGCAACCACTGCTGCCAGTATTTTACTGTTATTTTACAGCATTTTGTTTTCACTGCATCATTACTATATATACAGTTAAAAATTGTGTGTTTTTGTTAGGATCTGTGATTCGTTTTGATGGGTTTTTCACAACCATGAAA